TCCATGATATTCCACTCTTTGGCTCTCCCAAAATTCACATCCTTGCCATATACAAAACTCATTCACCTCATTGTATCATCCCAAAAGTCTTAAATCATCTCCAAATTCAAAATCTCATCTTCTGAATCATCTAAACCAAATATGTATGAGATGTTAGGCATATTGCATCCTGGGGCATAATTCCTCTTCATCTGTGAAACTGTGCAATCTAGATTATAAATTATCTGTTTCCAGATGGTGGAACAGGCACAAGGTAGACATTTGTAGGGAAAGAAGGGATAACAGGCACCAAGCAAGTCCAAAACTCAGCAGAACAACTTACATTAGCTCTCAAGGCTTGAAAATAATCCTCTGTTCTCTTAGACTATATAGGCAAGGGGCCTGCCCTCCAGAGTCTGGGTGTGGGCCATGCCCTCTGGATTCTGGATGGAGGCCCCTCAGCCCTGGACTTCAGCTCCACCTCCCAGGGCCACTGGAACAGCAACTCTGCTTCCTTGGCTTTGGGTGGCCCCATTCTCCTAGTCCACCTAAGTAGCGACCCCACCCTCTTGGCCCCTGTAGGCCTGATTCTTCTGCCCCTTGGGCATGGCAGCCCCACCCCCTCAGCTTTGTGCAGTGGTCCCAACACCCTGGCACACCTTAACAGCAGCCCATACTCACGAACTGAGTTCACAAAAAAATGACTCTGAAACCTAGGAAGCTGTGGCCCCACCGTTTGAGATTCAGGAGACTGTGGCCCCACCCTTTGAAACTGAGAAGGCCCTGCTTCCCATGCTCCTTCCAACAGTTCTGCTGTTCTCTGAGCTGCTCCAAGGATGGTCTTTTTCTTTTCTTGGAGGACAACAGATGTAGCTCCTTTGGCCTGTTTCCTGCCTGCAGAATTCTGAAAGGTAGTTGGCATTCTTTCCTTTAGTTCTTTCTCTGTCCCCTTCAGTCTAAGCTGATGGATGTTCTGCTGTGGTAGTTGGTTAAATCATCAGTCACAGCCTTAATATCTTTAACTAAAGCTTGTGTAGCCATGTCCTTGGTGAACATTCTAGGATACATGTCCTTAGGTTGTACAAGAGAATTTTCCAAATCTTTAAGTTCTGTTTTCATTTTGCCCAGTTAATTTTTAAGTCCATGTCTTTCCTCTCACATTTTACTATAACTGGCAAGGTATAACCAAGTGACCCTTTTTTTAAGATCTTACTTGGAAATCTCATCAGCCAGATATCCAAGTTCATCACTTACAAGTTCTACCTTTCACCAAATATTTGAACATAATTCAAACAAGTTCTTTGCCACTGCATAAAAAGCATCACCCTTCCTCCATTGTCCAATCACATGTTCATCATTTTCTTTTATAGCCTTACCAGCAGCACATTTAATGACCATATTTCTAGCACAATTCTGTTGCTGGTGCCATATGTATTCTCTAAGATGATAGAGACTTTCGCTATAGCTCTCCTCACTTCCTTCTGAGCTGTCATCAGAACTGCCTTTGACATCCATAATTCCACCCACAGTCTCTTAAAGGATATTTAGGCTTTTACTATTAGGCATCTTAAAACTCTTCCACCCTCCACCCATTACCCAATTCCAAAACCACTTCCACATTTTAGGTATCTGTTAGAACAGCACCCCAGTGTTCTGGTACCTAATTCTGTCTTAGTTATGTAGTGCTGCTACATAACTGGATGGTCTTAACAAACAGAAATTTATTTTCTTACAGTTTAGGAGGCTAGAAGTCTGAATTCAGGGTGCTGACTCTAGGGGAAGGCTTTTTCTCTCTGTCGGCTCTGGAGGAAGGTCCTTGTTTCTTTTTAGCTTCTACTCCTAGGAGATCGTCACGTGGCTTGGCAACTCTCTTCCTCCATCTCTGCTTCTCTTGCTTGCTTGTTTAATCTCTTTTATATCTCAAAAGAGACTGACTCAAGATATACCCTACACTAATTCTGTCTTATTAACATAACAAAGACCATTCCCAAATGGGATTATAACTACAGGCATAGAGGCTAGGATTTACAGCACATTATTTTTTGGAGACACAATTTAATCCATGACAGTGTCCAAAGTAAGCAAAATGAAGCCTCTCCATCCTCGCTTTTAAGGAGCACTCTGGTTGTACTTCCTCCAAGATGGATTTGTTCATTCTTCTGGAAGTCTCTGGTATATTCAACATTCTTCGCCCAAACCACAATTCAAATGCATCAACTCTTCTTCAGTTTTCCTTTTTCACTGTCTGGCTTTCATATACATATGAGGTGATTGAAAATACCATGACTTGGGTCATGTGCACCTTAATCGTCAAAGAGACATCTCTGCTTTTTAAGACTTTAAAGAGGTCTTTTGCAGCAGATTTGACCAATATGTTGTTTGATTTCTTGACTGCTGTTTCCATGGTATTGATTGTTCATCCAAGTAGAATAAAATCTTTGACAACTTCATGTTTTTTCTCCATTTATCATGAGGTTGTTTATAGGTCCAGTTGTAAGGATTTTCATTTTCTTTATGTTGAGGTGTAATCCACATTCAAGGTTGTAGAATTGACCTTCATCAGTAAGTGCTTCAAGTCGTCTTCACTTTCAGCAATCAAGGATGTGTCATCCATATTTTGCAGGTTGTTAATGAGTCTTCCTCCAATCCTGATGCCACATTTTTATTCATATAGTCCAGCTTCTTGGACTATTTGTTCAACATACAGGTTGAATAATAAGGTAAGAGGATTCAATCCTATTGCATACCTTTTCCAACTTTAAACCTCAGTATCCCCTTGTTCTATTCAAAAGACTGCCTCTTGATCCAGGTATAGGTTCCACATGAGCACAATTTAATGTTCTATAATTCCCATTCTTTGCAATGCTATCCATAATTTTTTATGATCCACACAGTCGAATGCCTTTGCACAGTCAATAAAACACAGGTAAACATCTTTCTGGTATTCTCTATATTCAGCCAAAATCCTTCTGAAATCAGCAATGATATCCATGTTCTTTTCTGAATCTGACTTGAACTTCTGGCAGTTCTCTCTCTCTGTATGGCTGCAGCCATTTCTGAATTAGCAAAATTCAAACTCAGCAAAATTTTGTTAGCATGTGATTATTAATGATATTGTTTGGTAATTTCCACATGCTGTTTGATTGCCTTTCTTTGGAATGGGCATGAATATGGATCTCTTCCAGTCAGTTGGCCAGGTAGCTGTCTTCCGAATTTTTTTATATAGATGAGTAAGTGCTTCTGGTGTTGCATCTGTTTGTTGAAACATCTCAAATGGTATTCCGTTAATTCCTGGAGCCTTGTTTTTTGCCAGTGCCTTCAGTGTGGCTTGAACTTCTTCCTTTAGTATCAGCGGTTTTTGATCACACGCTACCTCCTGAAATGGATGAAACTTGACCAATTCATTTTAATACAGTGATTCTGCATATTCTTTCCATCTTCTTTTGATGCTTCCTGCAACATTCAATATTTTGCCCATAGAATCTTTAAATATTGCAACTTGAGATTTGAATTTTCTCTTCAATTCTTTCAGTTTGAGAAATGCTGATCATGTTCTTCCCTTTTTGTTTTCTAACTTCAGGTCTTTACATATTTCATTATAATACTCTACTTTTGTCTTTTCGAGCTGCCCTTTGAAATCTTCTGTTCAGCTCTTATACTTCATCATTTTTCCTACAGTTGACTCTGCTGCTATTTGAAATACTAGTGGTATAGATTTTAGCATCATAGCAACACATAAGCCATCACAGTATGACAAACTGACAGATGGGTGGTGGACAACAGTATACACTATTTTTGTAATTTAAAAAACTGTTTTTAATAAAAAGAAATTTCTGCCCATTGGGTTGTTGTGAAAGTAAATGATGCAATTCAAGTAAAAGTGTTTAGCGCAGTACTGGGACCATATTTACCAAAAAACAAAAAACCAAACCCGTTGCTGTCAATTCTGACTCATAGTGACCTTATAGGACAGAGTAGAACTGCCCATAGGGTTTTCAAGGAGAGGCTGGTGGATTTGAACTGTCGCTTTTGGGTTAGCAGCTGAGCTCTTAACCACTGCTCCACCAGGGCTCTGGGCCCATATTTAATACTCTACAAATATAAACTACTATTATAATTGTTGCAAAATTCAATTCTCATTAATTACAACAATGAGATTGCTTAAAAACTAATTTAGATCTTTTGAGAAGGGGAGTTAAGACTGAGGGAAGGATAAAGGATTATGAATTTCCATGTTAATGATTTTGAGGCAGGATATTGCACACTGACTGAAAAAAAATTCACATAACCAAGAACCTGATTTTCTAAAACTTACAGAATAAATTACCAACAATGAATCTTTGAATAAAAGAACTGAAGTACATACTACTTATTGGAGTCTAAACTTTATATTAAAAAAAATGCATTATGACTAAGTAGGGGTTATTCTAGGAATTCAAGCACAATGTAACATTAGTAAATTTGTCAACATAGCTTATTACATTAACCAATAAAAAGATAAAAAGAAATGCTGAAAAAATTTAATAAATTCTAACAATCAAAAACCAAAGAGTTAGAGGAATAAAATAAAATTTCCAAAATATGATAAAGAACAATTTATCAGAGACCAAGAGCAAACATCACATTAAATGGAGAAATATTAAATGCATTGCAGATAAAGAAAGTAACATGGAATTATAGTTAACATTGTCTTTGCGAGTTAGTCAAGAAAACAATAAGTGATATAAATATTGGAAAGGGACAAAATTATTTTCATTTATTACCTAAAATACAATTAGAACTTACAAATTCATTTAGTAAAGTGGCTGGATGCAAAAATAAACATATAATTTAATAGTTTTATTTTACACTAGTAATTACCATCTCTAGATTTAATTGGAAGAAATTTCCATACACTACAATGATTCATAGCTACAAAACCCTAGCAATAAATTTAACAAATAATGAACAAGACTCATGTTACTGAAGTATATAAAATAATATCTGAAAAAAGAGACACATTTTATTTAATGGAACATTACCTTTGAAACAGATTGCCTTTCTTCATATAAGATATCTATGACTGGTAAAAATATTAAAGCTTTCTCTAAAATTCTTCTGACTGTTGTCTTTCCTCCACCTGTTGGGCCCAATAACATCACACCAACAGAAGCCTAAAACAAAATTTACAGATTTATTCAGTTATACACTATAAAATTTTTTAAAATTTATAAATACATCTCTGACTATATCCACTTACCCTTCTTTCAAATTATTGTTCAATCCATTATTATCTGGTTTCTGCCTTTATTGAATAGGCTAATGTTAAAATCACCAGAAATCTCTTAATTTTAGAATTCAAAACATTCTTTTCAATTCTTGATATTTAATAGTTTATCTCACTTTCCACTTCTTCTCATACCCTTGTCTACTACTGGTTTCTGTAATATGATTTATCTGGGATTTCTTCCTTCTCTGTTTTTTTTCTCTCTTGAGCTCTGATTCTCCTTTCTATGTTAGTCTCCCCTAGTTTATCCCATTCCTCTCCTATACATTGTCCCTAGCCAACCTCATCAATCTGAATGTCTTTAACTATGATCTAGATTCTAATGACTTCTATCCCCTCATCTATTACAAAACTTTTTCTTGATTCCATCTTCTTTTCTCCATCACAACCATAATTGCCTTATCTTGGGCCCTTACTATATATTCTGGACTACTGTAATAGCATTAAAGAAATTATTATTTTTTAATAATGCAAGTATCACAAAAATACATTAAAATTCAAATACGGATAAGGCTAAAATACCTTTTCACTTACATTCCAATCTCAGTCCCTTCATAGAGGCCTTGTGATTCTCTGGTTTGATAGTCCCAGACTATAACTGACAAGGTGAGAAGGGCCCAAAAAGCCTTACTTGTCAAATGGAAACTGTATATTCACGAGTGCAGCCCGCCTGGCCACGGTGGCATCTTGGCTTTACATGGAAGAGTGACAGCTATCCCTGTGGGGGAAACTTTATACCCCATTGCATTTCTTGAAGCAAAGTCAGTGGCTCAGTAAATCCCTTGATTCTCAAAGATTTCCTAAATGCCTAGTCTGGTTTACTGATGGTTTAGCTAAGCTGGAACCAGATGGCTCCGGCTATTCAGCCTCAGAGCCAGCTATGAAGAAACAAAGGCAGACTTGCTTGTCCTGCTCAGTGGAGAACACACACTCTCTCTCTTTTTTTTTCTTTATATCCTAGTTGTTTATTTCCTCATCTGTTTAAGTCTTATAAACTTGTAAAAAGTGAAATTTTTTTTATTATTCTACTTTAGATGAAGTTTTACAGAGCAAATTAGTTTCTCACTAAACAATTAATACACATATTGTTTTGTGATATTGGTTGCCAACCCCACGACATGTCAACACTCTCCTCTTCTCAACCTTGGATTCCCCATCACCAGCTTTCCTGTCCCCTCCTGCCTTCTAGTTTTTGCCCCTGGGCTGGTGTGCCCATTTAGTCTCATTTTGTTTTATGGGTCTGTCTAATCTCTGGCTGAAGGGTGAACCTCAGGAGTGACTTCAGTACTGAGTTAAAAGGGTGTCCGGCAGTCATACTCTCGGGGTTTCTGCAGTCTCTGTCAGACCAGTAACTCTGGTCTTTTTTGTGTGAGTTAGAATTTTGTTCTGCATGTTTCTTCCGCTCTGTCTGGGACCCTCAGATCCCTCTCAGAGCAGTCGGTTGTGGTAGCCAGGCATCATCTAGTTGTGCTGGATTAAGTCTGGTGGAGGCTGTGGTATTTACAACACGCTGACTCTTGAGCTTTTGCCAATAGCCTAGCTGTTTGGTCTGCCACTTGGAAAACTACATACTAGCAGATTAAAGACACTCCTCTTTGGGGCTGCTAACTGTGGAAACAAATGGAGACTGCTAACCAAACTATCTGGGTCACACATGTAGATGCCCGCGGAGAGGACCCATTCTTTTACAAGACTACCCAGAATCAAACTGCTGATTGAGCTCACACTGTTCAGGTTGCCATGAATGCTGCCTGGATACAACATCATACTGGACATGGCAACATGTTTAATATCATAGATTGGGCACAAAGAAAAAAACTGTATGTTTCGGATGCAGAGGCTACCACTGGATGCCAGTGACTACTGCCCAAAAAGTTGATGCAGTTGTCACAAGGTGAGGGAAACCACATGGCACAGGGCATGACCTACACACACTCCTGGCAGGTTGACTACATCAGATCTTTAATCCCCTCTTAGGGCTAACAGTGATGCCTTACTGATGTTGACACTATTTCAAGCTATGGGGTTGTTGTTCCAGTCCAATTAGTTGACTCTGGCCACACATTATGTGTCTTGAAATAATTTGTGTCATGTGTTTGGATTTCTGGACCATTTGCAGTCTGGAAATGGTGCATATAATTATCATAAAAGTCACTCAACAATGGGAGGATAGTCAAGGTGTTTGATGGACCTTCAACACTCCCTACTATCCATGTTGTTGTTAGGTGCCGTCAAGTCGGTTCCAACTCATAGTGACCCTATGTACAACAGAATGAAACACTGCCTGGTCCTGCACCATCCTCACAATGCTTGTTATGCTTGAGTCCATTGTTGCAGTCACTGTGTCAATCCATCTCATTGAAGGTCTTCTTCTTTTTGGTTGACCCTCTACTTTACCAAGCATGATGTCCTACCATCCATAGGCATCTGGTATTACTGAGCATTGGGACAGCTTCCTCAAAACTTCACTCAAAAAAGATCTCTGACTCTTATCTCTCTCACCTCCCTCACCTCCTTATTGTCCACATACCTTACACCAAGGAAGTTTGGTCATTGAATGTGGGTGTCCCAAGAAAGAGATCATCTCCTTTCACCTGCTTCCTGGGTAATGATCAGGATGAATGGAATGAGGCATTATATAGACCTGTTCTGAAAATTCAGGATTCAGCCCTGACCATTCCTAGATATGATATTTCTTTCTTTCCCCTAGTGACAACTTCAGGTCAGCCTGGTTGATACATATTCCACGTGGCAGTCCAACCAAAATGGAGCTTTGGGGATTCAAATACAATTTTGGTTCAACCACCTGAATTTTCTTGTTGGACTAAGAAGGTGTTAGACCAAAAGGATAATGACTACTTGGTGGAGTACATTGCCTGATGAGTCTTTCTACAGTGGCTCCTACAGGCCAAAGTGGGAACATAATAGGTGTCTGTAAATTTTATAAAACTGCCCTTGTCCTTCTTAAGTCTAACCCTTCAGAATGAAAGGTTTGGGTGCGAGTAGGGGACTTTGGAAAATAACATGGTTAGGAGGTGGAGCCATCATGGTGGAGTAGTCAGATGCTTTCTGTGGTCCCTCTTACAACAAAGACCCAAAAAAAAGAAGTGAATCTATTATATATGACAATCTAGGAGGTCTGAACATCAAAGGCAAAGTTGAGGAATCGGACTGAGCAGCAGGGGAAGGGAGAGGCAGTTCAGAAGCAGCAAAGAGTTGCTAGACCGAATCCGGCAGGAACCAGCACCCAGCAGGCTGGATCAACTGGCTTGCACAGTGAGGCAAGCAGTGACGCTTGGGACACATTTTCCACATCAGGAGAGACTGAGCGACGGAGAGTCAGCTCAAGGCTCCAGAACCAGTGAAAAGTGATGCTCAGTCGGCAGAAGATAAGCACGTGCATCTAACCTACTGTGTGGATCAAAAAACACCCCCTTTGGGAAGAACCTCTCTTCCATTTACCTGCCTGCTTACACTCTGAACCGGGTCCTGGGCTGGCTTCAGTGATTGCTGTATCCCTTGGGGTGTAAGTAGGACCCATCACGTGCCCTGAGCCATTCTCCTGGCTTTGGAGAGGGAACAAATTAATAAATAGGAAAAAATAATCTGCCGGCTCCCCTAAGCTGGGAACTCAGGGCCGGCACAGCCCTTTTGCCTAAACACAGACATAAGGGGTCCACAGACTTTGAATGCCTTTTACCCCTGTATAGACCTGTGTAGGCCCATTTCAACAGCGTAGGCCTCATTACCACAGTATAACAGGATATATACCTGAAACCTATTTTCAACTGTATCATCTATAAGGTGGAGTGGCAGATTTGTGACATTTGACAATGCTCTGCCCATTAAGCAGGGTCCTCATCTACCCACATCAGGGTCCTGAGGCCTGAGGACTGGTGGCTCCACGCACTCCACCTAACCACCCATGACAGGGGCCCAAGAATAAGTGGTGCCTCCCAGTGCTTACAGCCAACAGCACTGGGTATCCATAGTCCAGCTGCAAAACTCACCCACCTATGTGCTCAAGGGAACAGGGACCTGCTTTTCTCCCAGACACTCAGGGGCAGCCATCAGCCCCTGCTCTGCTCAGCGCATGACCCCCTACTGCAGCTAGATACCTGTGCCTACTCCAATCACCCCTGCCCATCTAGGACTGTAGGTGATAGCCTGCACCACACACTTGGTGACCGACCACCTGGACACTTGAGCTGAATCCATACAAGAAAAGTAAACAGACTCCTGGGCTCACATACCTAGTAACAGCTCTAACCACCTGGTGACAGGATGTGAGAGCTTCAAAAGCACTGATAATCAAACTAGCTCACAAAACCAGACTATTTGGGCATATCAAAACAAAACAAAACAAGAAGCTAGGGAAGAATAAGCAAACAAAAAATAAATAAATATAACTTATTGATGGTCTGGAGACAACAGTCAATATCAAATCACATAAACAGGCAGATCATGATGGCTTCACCAAGCATCCAAAAAAAAGGATCAAGAAACCTTCTGGAGGAAGATAACTTCTTGGAATTACTGGAGGTAGAATTCAAAAGATTAATATACAGAGCTCTTCAAGAGATCTGGAAGGAGATCAGGCAAAACATAGAACAATCCAAGGAACACACAGACAAAGCAAAAGAGGAATTGAGAAGGTTATACAAGAGCATAATGACAAATTTAACAGGGTACAAGAATCCACAGAGAGACAGCAACCTGAAATCCAAAAGATTAACAATAAAATTTCAGAATTAGACAACTCAATAGAAAGTCATAGAAGCAGAACTGAGGCAATGGAAGTCAGAATTTAGTGAGACTGAAGATAAAGCACTTGACATGAACTCGTCTGAGGAAAAATCAGATAAAAGAATAGAGATGTTTAAACAAACAGCTGCAGCACTGGCGATGCTCAGTTGTCTATGCCAAGAAATTTGGAAAACAGCTGCTTGGCCAACTGACTGGAAGAGATCCATATTTGTGCCCATTCCAAAGAAAGGTGATCCAACAGAATGTGGAAATTAATGAAAATATCACTAATATCACACGCATGTAAAATTTTGCTGAAGGTAATTCAATAACAATTGCAGCAACATATCATCAGGGAACTGCTCAAAATTCAAGCCAGATTCAGAAGAGGATGTGGAACAAGGGATACCATTGTTGATGTCTGATGGATCTTGACTGAAAGCAGAGAATATCAGAAAGATTTTTATCTCTGTTTTAATGGCTATGCAAAGGCATTCGACCGTGTGGGTCATAACAAATTATGGATAACATTACGGAGAGTGGGAATTTCAGAACACTTAATTGTGCTTATGAGGAATCTGTACATAGACCAAGAAGCAGTCATTCGAACAGAACATGGGGACACTGTGTGGTTTAAAGTCAGGAAAGGTATGCATCAGGGTAGTGTCCTTTCACCATATTTATTCAATCTGTATGCTGAGCAAATAATCTGAGAAGCTGGACTATACGAAGAACAGGGCATCAGGATTGGAGGAAGACTCATCAACAACCTGTGATATGCTGATGTCACAGCCTTGCTTGCTGAAAGTGAAGAGGACTTGAAGCACTTACTGATGAATATCAAAGACTACAGCCTTCAGCCTTAAGTACAGATTGCACCTGAACATAAAGAAAACAAAAATCCTCACAACCAGACCAACAAGCAACATCATGATAGATGGAGAAAAGACTGACATCAAAGATTTCATTTTACTTGGATCCACAATCAATGCCCATGGAAGCAGTAGTCAAGAAATCAAATAACATATGGCATTAGGCAATCTGCTGCAAAAAACCTCTTTAAGGTGTTAAAAGAGCAAAGACATCACTTTGAAGGTTAAGGTGTGCCTCAAAGCCATGGTATTTTTAATTGCCTCATATGCATGGGAAAGTTGGGCAATGAATAAGGAAAACAGAAGAATTGGTGCCTTTGAATTATGGTGTTGGTGAAGAATAGTGAATATACCATCGACTGCCAGAAGAATGAATAAATATGTCTTGGAGGAAGTACAGCTAGAATGCTCCTCAGAAGCAAGGATGGCGAGACTACGTCTCACATACTTTGGACATGTGATCAGGAGGGATCAGTCCCTGGAGAAGGATATCATGGTTGGTAGAGTAAAAGATCAGTGAAAAAGAGGAAGCCCCTCAATGAGATGGACTGACACAGTAGCTGCAACAATGGGCTCAAGTATAACAAGGATTGTGAGATGGTGCAAGACCGGGCAATGTTTCTTTCTTTATACATAAGGTTGCTATGAGTCAGAACTGACTCAAAGGCACCTAATAACAACAACAACCTGAACCCTAAAGAAAAATAAATTCCAGCCAACTTAAAGATGGGAAATCCAAATACATAAAACTTTTACAAAAAATTAATAGAAAATATCTTTTTGAAGATAGAGTAGAGAAGATTTTAAAAAAAGGACACAAAAACAAACATTAGGAAATAATTGATAGATTTTTACAGCACTAAAAAATGTGTTCGGCACAACTGAATGTCATGAACATTTCTAAAAGCCAAGGCTTACAGACTTTATTAGTAATGCATACAGTCAATAGAGAATTACTATATGAAAATACGTAATAAAAATCTACACATTTACTAAGAAACAAACAAACAAACCAATTGATAAAACAGTGCAGTACATAATCTGGCAATTCACAGAAAACTCAAATGGCTAATAAACATAAGAAAAGATGTACAATCTTAGTAGTAATCAGGGAAATACATATTGCAACATTTTTATAGATGGTTCATTCACGGAGAACAGAAAATTCAAAAAAAGAGTAGCAATTGGATTCAGTGTTTTGGACCACATTTGTAGGGTTTTTACAAGTATGTATGAAGCTGAAAAAGATCAATTTGTTGAGGATTAAGATGAAGGTCAAATAGTAAAGTCTAGGAAAATAATAAACTACTTTACTCTGAAGAACATCTTAACAGCTCTTTATTATTATTACTGGTTTCCCTCTTGCTCATATCTACTAAAACCTAGAGCAAAGAGTTGCTAACGTGCCATTCTACACTTACCTGAAGTTGATTATGAAACTGTATGATCTTCTCTTTTTGAGCTGGACAATGTTGTAAGCCTAAGTGTAGTGTTGCAATAAATACAGCTTTCTAAAAGGAAATAAAAACATAGATTTAAAATGCATTGCTGTTTCAACCCTTAAATTTTAATTCTCCAAAATCTTTCTTAAATAGGTATCAATTATTGTACTTTAAGACAGCAGTTTTTAATTTTTCAGATTACCAAGCTTTCTGAGAATAATGATATCTATCATTACTCTCCCAGAAAATACAATTCACACAAAATTTCATGTTCACAGACCTCTTACAGCAAATTCACAGACCATTCCCCCAGATTAAGAACTCATGCTTTAAGATGTATTTAAAAACTAGCTGTTACCAGAGTACAACTGTTTAATTATCCTACACTAAAAGAAAATGTAAAAGATTTATGCTTTTTTGTAATTCCAATCATCATTAAGATAGGTTTTCAATTTTGTAACATACATTCTAATGTTCCAATGTTACAAGATTGAAGATATGATATGTTATACATTAAAACATCTCAAGGAGTGACTGCAGCTTGGAAAGATACTATTGTAACACAGAAAGTATAAGGGCAGCTATGCTTCCTTCAAAGGGGGATTATTTCAGAATGGATAAAATTGATAACTATGTCTACAGGAAAAAAAAAAAAAGGGACTTATCCTTTCTTTTTCACCAACTCCTCCCACCCTATTTCTCATTCCTTGCATCCATGCAATGGCCATAACAAAGAAGCAGCTGAAGGAGACACAGAATACTCAGTAGGACTGTACAAATGGAGAAAAAAGCAGCTCCTAAGGCAAGACCTAGGAGCCCTGGTGGTGCAGTGGTTAAGTGCTTGGCTGCTAACTGAAAGGTTGGCAGTTTGAACCCACCAGCTCTCCGTGGAAGAAAGATGTGGCAGTCTGCTTTCATAAAGATTTACAGCCTACGAGACAAGGGATGCCCTTTATCACCACTTCTCTTTAACATTGTGCTGGAAGTCCTAGTTAGAGCAATAAGGCAAGAAAAAAAAAATAAAGGGCATCCAAATTGGTAATGAAGAAGTAAAACTGTCTCTGCGGATGATATGATACTATACTTCAAAAAAACTACATGAGAAAACTACTGGAACTAACAGGAAGATTCAGCAGAGTAGCAGGATATAAGATAAACGTACAAAAATCAGTTGGATTCTGATACACCAAAAAAGAGAACAACGAAAAGGAAATAAGGAAAACAATATCATTTATAATAGCCCCTAAAAAAATAAAATACTTAGGAATAAATCTAACCAGGGATGTAAAAGACCTATATAAAGGAAACTACAAAACACGACAGCAAGAAATCAAAAGAGAGCTACATAAATGGAAAAACATAGCATGCTTGTGGATAGGTAGACTCAACATTGTGAAAATGTCACTTCTACCCAAAGCAATCTACAAATACAGTGCAATCCCGATCCAAATACCAACAGCATTCTTTAAAGAGATGGAAAAACTAATCATTAATTTTATATGCAAAGGGAAGA